TGGCGGGCCGCTTCGGATTGCCTCACCATCACAGCCACCGAGATGGTCACTGCAGCCACCAGGAGCAGCAACAGGGCACACAAACCCAGCACTTTTAGTGTGGCTCGCGTGGCCGAGGGCTCCATGGCTCTCTCAGCCGAGGTTTCTTGCAACTGCTCTCTGTTGGCGTCCTGCGAGCTCTGCCTGCTTTCCGTTGGCTAAAATTGCTCTACGTGGGCCTCCCCAAAGTAAGAGAAACCCTTCATCTGTGGCTTACCGCAAACCACAATAAAAAGACCACAATAGTGTTTGTTGCAATATGTTCGGCGATGAGCAGACGAGCATCTGTCAGAAAGAGCATCTTGAGAGAAGAGTCCCGAGAAACTCAAATGTAACCTCTTCTTTGTTAAGCGATAACCCACACTTTTTCTGCCTTTTTTTATCCCAACGGTAGAGTACAATTTCTTTGTTTTGCTTTGGCCAATTTTAGACTGTAAACCTAGGAGTCATGCTTTTGAACTTGTGTACCACCCGTAATGTTGCTGCTGTGGCCTGCCAGCAGCTAGTGGAGCTGGTGGCAGACTCGGACAGTGAGGAGGTTGGGGAGGAACATGGGCCAATCCTGGAGGCTGCGGAAGGCTCTGATGAGGACTCTGTGTCGGAGGAAGAGAGGGGGCCAGGGCCCTATCCCAGTTATCAGCTGCCTTTGGAATCAGAGATAAGTGGGGGAGAAGAACAGGTGGAGCCTGTTTCCGATGTGTGCGTGCCAGAGGTGGGTTCCTACCAGTTCGCTCCTATTCGGTAGAACCGGTTCGTCAAATCTACCGAACCGGTTAGAAGAGGTTCCACCAGTGGACCCGGAAAGCAGGCCACACCTACAGAAGAGGTTCCAAAATTTTTTGAAACCCACCACTGTATAACTTGATTATTCAGCATCCTCATTAGTTGTTCTGGATAAAATCAGAAAGGTTGACACTACTAATTAGAGCCAACTGTGATACAGGAAGAAATCTCCATTCAGTTTTTTTTCTTCTTCTGTAAAACCTTTTTGTTCCAGATCACTCAGGATTTATCACCTGAGCCATGGTGGCGGAGTGGTTAGAATG